GAATCAGGAATTATATATTTTTGTGAGCTTTTGTCATAATAATATTTTGTTATTCTTTCTAATGTTTCTGAATTCTCCAAAAAGGGCATCATTAATTACTAATTGATAAAAAAAAATATTTTTAACATTACTTTTAGTGTTTAGGTATGCAATAATCAACTGAATGTCTAACATTTCAGAAGTATCCGCGACAAATATGCTTATTGAGCTTTCTAGTAATGTAGATGGATTTGTGAGCCCAAAAAATAAAAATAAATCGAAAAATACCCCTAGGTTTTCAAAATTGGTTCCTTCACCAGTTAACTATTCTGTCACATATGCGAATGCTTCATCTTCAGTAGCAGTACCGCATTCCAGAAAAGATAAAGAATTAGAACGTATAATTTTTACTATACAGAGAGGATATAAGGTTCTTGTTTTAATGAGAGGCCTTCCTGGGAGTGGCAAAAGTACATTAGCTAGATACATTGTGGAACGTTCTGTTAATCCTCCTTATTTTCAAAATTACGAACAATTTATAAAATCTACTGATGATTATTTTACCAAAAACGGTATCTATAACCACAATCCTTCTCAATTACCCGAAGCTCATAGCTGGAATCAAAATCGAACTTACCAAGCCATGATCAGCGGCATAAGTCCCATAATAATTGATAATACAAATGTACAAATGTGGGAAATGAAATCTTATGCGATCATGGCTGTCCAGAATGGGTATTATATTGAAATAGTAGAGCCCAAAACCCAATGGGCATTCAATGAAAAAGAATTACTTCGTCGTAACCTGCACGGAGTGCCAAGAAAAGTTATCAACGATATGTTGACTCGTTACGAAAAAAACATAACAACGAAGAAGTTGATGGCCATGTATAATTTACGTTATTTTGTTCCGATGCCACAAATGAGAATCTATCCTCCTATTGTTCCACTAAATAATTTTGAACAAACGAACCAACCTGAAGCAGGAAACACTACTGCTTCTCAACAAAAAAATATTTTTGCTTCGCGTTCTGGAAATTCTTTGGAAATGGTCGATTTGACCGTTTCAAGTAACGCGAATGCTTTAGTTGACTTGACAAAAGATGCAGAAGAAGGTCAAACGGTAAACGAAAGTAACGAGTCTACATCTCAAAATAATGAGAATGTTATAGACTTAATGAATTTTGACAACGAAGCATCATCGACATCTGTCTCATCCGAGAGCCCTAAAAATTCGTCGTTTATTAACGAAATCTTTGATGTTTCTAACGAAAAGAGCGTTGAAATGTTAGACCCTCTTATAAAATTCAATGTCCCAGAAAATAATAAAATTGTTAACGATGATATCTTGGCAGAACCAAGTACTTCTAAAAATCAAGAAAAATCACATGCACTTTTAGAATCTGTCGCTTTATCAACCGAAAACGTTTGTTCTCATTCTGATACAGTTATACCACTTGCAAATTCTTCTTCTGAACCTGATATGAAAAAGCTAAAGACAAGTTCACAAATGGAAGGTGAGGTAGACGTTGAACATTTGCAAACTAAATTAAGGAAGGAAGAATTTAAAAAACCCATAAATATATATCCAAAATTAGACCTTTCTTCTTGGGGTTTATCAGAAACGACTAGATACTCCTGGGAACCCTTGGAAAGCCCACCAATAATCTTAAATAACAAAGAGACCAGAAACGTTGAAGTTGAAACGGCAAATTCTTCGACTAATACTTATGACGATGATTTCAAACTTTTACTTCCAAATTCAAAAGTGAGTGACCCAGGCATAATATTTTTGACCTGTGTTAACAGAGATATAATAGCAAATAACTTTGTATTCTTGGAAAATCCAAAACCACCTCTAAAGGTCATGCTCGATAAAAGTTCGATGACTGATGACCACTTTATTTCAGTCAGTTCTGAAAATGAAATTGAAACAGTGACTAAGCACATGCAGCAATTGGTGAATTTGTTTCCTGACATATCCTTGGATCTTCTTAAAGATGTGTACGAAAAATGTAACAAGGATGTAGAATGGACTATAGATTTATTATTAGAGGGGAACTTGGAAGTTTTGCAAATTGAAAACAAGGTCGACGAACAACCGTCTAGTAGTCTCATTGGAGAAACTGAAATTAACAATACCATCGAAGAAATCAGCAGTTCTACTAAAAAGATCACTTTGGAGCAGAATCAACCAAATCCTGTTGAATCCAAAAATGAAGATCCTAGCCTTTCAAATAAGATTTTGTCGACAGGAAAAGACTTGGTGAAATTTCTGGAAAAACAATTTATATTCGGCAATCAACACTATTCTGATCACATTCTCAAAGTGAAGAGTCGTATGAATGGGTCGTTTGAAGAATTAAACGTTTCAAAGGAACCAATAATAACGAAGGAATCGAAAGAAGAGGCCATGGAAACTATTAATTTACCTTCAACATCAATTCCTGTTAGTCAAAACTCAAAAATACAACCATCCACGTCGTCAGCAGTAGAAATTTGTCACTCCAACTGTGGGGACATATTTGCATTAGACACAGAAAAAGATTTTGATGATCTAGAAAATTCTCAAACTTATGCAAACAGCGAAGAAATGATGGAATTAAATTTAGGGGATGTATTGGTGTCACAATTAGAAAGCACCTTTGGGAATTTCGAATTGTATCCCAAAGGATTTCAACCAGTCGTTCAAATGCCTGTTAGTTTGGCAAGGCAACTGTTTGCGTTTTATTTGGAATCGGTTTATTCACAAATGGAAGCCCAAAACCAAGTTTTAGAACAACTGGTAAAGGAAGACGAAGAATTTGCGAAAACTTTACAAGAAAACGAAGAAAGGGAAATGAAAGCGCAAGAAATCCTACGAAAAAATCAGGCTCCAAATCTAAAAGATATAATGGCGCGAGAAAAAGAAAGAAACAAATATATTAAAGAAATTGAACAGTGGAAAAAATTAACTCCAGACGATCTAGCTGCCAAATTAACACGAAAGAAATTGTTTGACTCATTCCCCACTATAGATCAAGATCTTCTGGTGGAAATATTGCACGCACATAACAACAGTTATCAGCAAACTGTGGAAGTTTTACTAAATTCAACTAAGGTAGAAGACATCAGTGATCCCTACGGAACAATATTACAACCTCCAATTTCCTCGACAATTCTGGAAGAAATGAAAGAGGCTCAGCAAGAAAATACAGAGGTGATGTTTTTAACGAATAGCATAGTCTAGTTGGCTTAGGTAGTTGGTGTAATGTTAGATTTTTTTTTTATTTCGTTTCAGAACGATGAAAAGGAAAATAAATCTGCGAATGAATTACGCGAAGAAGCGAGAAAGCATTTGGCCAAAAGACACGAGTTATATTTAAAGGCGCAAAAACACTTTCAAAAGGGAGAGGGTCTTATAGCCAGTTATTACAGCAGTTTGGCCGAAGAAAGGGGATTGCTATATGAAAAGGCCAACACATTGGCAGCTCACATGTTACTAAACGACAATTCACAGAAAAAGGACTTTCACACCCTCGATTTACATTATCTTTATGTAAAAGAAGCAATCAGTGCTTTGGACATATTTATGGACAGGAATATTATGTTGGTTAGTGGCAACAACAATAAGAATCAGGAATTATTTATTATTACAGGAAGGGGAAAGGGTAGCAAAGATGGGAAGAGTAAACTAAAACCAGCCGTGATTTCCCGATTAAGAAAACGAAAGTTGAAGTAAGTATCATCATCTTCATCCAGTGAAAAGACTGGCTACTCCTTCCTATTCTGAGCCAGTTTTCGCATTTTATTATGTCTGCTTCTCTTTAATGCTTTACTTCTCTTGGTGCTTCTAGTATGTCTATAACTAGCCCTTCATGATTTAGAAGGTGTCCTACTATCCTATCTTGTTGTTTATTTATTTCCGTAGCCCCTTTGTTCTCCTAACAGACTCTTGGTCCAAATAGTATCTTCATCCAGTGAAAAGATTGGCTACTCCTTCCTATTCTGAGCCAGTTTTCGCATTTTATTATGTCTGCTTCTCTTTAATGCTTTACTCCACTTGCTGCTTCTAGTATGTCTATAACTAGCCCTTCATGATTTAGAAGGTGTCCTACTATCCTATCTTGTTGTTTATTTATTTCCGTAGCCCCTTTGTTTTCCTAACAGACTCTTGGTCCAAATAGTATCTTCATCCAGTGAAAAGATTGGCTACTCCTTCCTATTCTGAGCCAGTTTTGGCATTTTATTATGTCTGCTTCTCTTTAATGCTTTACTCCACTTGCTGCTTCTAGTATGTCTATAACTAGCCCTTCATGATTTAGAAGGTGTCCTACTATCCTATCTTGTTGTTTATTTATTTCCGTAGCCCCTTTGTTCTCCTAACAGACTCTTGGTCCAAATAGTATCTTCATCCAGTGAAAAGATTGGCTACTCCTTCCTATTCTGAGCCAGTTTTGGCATTTTATTATGTCTGCTTCTCGTTAATGTTTTACTCCTATTGAGGCTTCTAATATATCTCTTACTAGCTCTTCATGCCCTGGAAAGTGTTCTAGTTTCCTATCTTGTTGTTTTTTTATTTATTTACTCCAAATATACGCGAGCACAGAAGTGATTTTTTTCAACTCTAATCTTAGCTTCACCTTTCTCACATACCAACATTGAGGATGATCATTTGAAGGATGTCCCTCCTCAGAACAATGGGACACGTACAAACTGTAAATATAATTTTTATTTTAGTTATTGCATCATGAATCCTGGCTTACTGAAAGTATACGTCAATAAAAACTCCCTTATGTCAAATGATGTTGGAAAACGAGAAATATAATAAATATTAAGTGTCATGGAACAATTAATCTATCTGTCTATCTGTAAATCCGTAAGTTATTAATTAATACTCCATTATTTTAATTATTTCTTGCGAAATGATCTAAGTTTATCAGGGTTCTCTTTATTTCAGCATCCCCACAACCTACAGTAAAAAAAATAATAAAAACAAAAAAAGTTATTAAATGTAATAGTGTTGGGATCGATGTAACTGGTAAAATAATTTTTAGTTATCTTTAATACAAGTACAAATACGTATATTAGTTGATAAGATTTATTTTTGGGACAAGTATACTACGGTCTAATGATCATAAATATTGCCATACAAAATTACCAATCACAAATTATATACTGACAGTAATTGATCATCTACAGGACACAAAAAATTTAGTATTTAAATAAAAATAAGGAATTTCAATGGCTGTGATTAATGCTCAATGTTGTTTTCACTTTTTTATTTCGCTTTTTTGAATACATATTATACGATATACCTACATATATGAACATTACAAAAATAAATACAAATATATATAACTAAGTTATATTACAACATATCTATTAACAGCTACTTGAAACAAATTCGACATTGGCATAAATGAAATCAAAGTAAACTTTAAAACGGTTTATACTGCACATTCTTTTATAAAAGCTTTTCTTATCAGGGGCCTATTTTCGACGATATATGTATATTTCATTTCATTTCAGTTTTTGTTGTTATTTACATGTCTTGTTTAAGTTGATAAATTCCTGTTTTTTTTTTTAACATTGTGACAATACAATAATTAAGAGCATGCTTTTGTTTTATATCTTGTTATTGATGGTTTAATTTTGTTTGTATTCTTTTGTTCCTTTGTTATCCAACCATACATGTAATAGATGTCGCTGTATACCTTACTACAAACATATTTGATGTGATAAAACATAAAATTCAATAGATGTCGTAAGTCGTTACATATCACACGTTCAATATTTTATGTCGTGGTTACTGTTGTCATTTCAATTTTATGGAACAATAAATAAATAATTAACTGTTTGTGCAATAAAACTGAATTAAATGGATATCTCAAAAATATTGAAAAAAAAACTGATGTTACTAAAACAAAATCCTTCGACTTCTAGTTAACATGGTTGAATTGTTTGTACAATTTAATTTAAGGAACTGTTTAATGACTATATTAGTGAATATGTTGTTTACGTTTATTTTGCTAGTATATAATATATTTTGTTCATATTTTTAAAAAAATTTATACTTATAATCTACTTTAGAATTAGTTATTTTTGTATACCTATAGTATAATTTCTAATAAAAACACTACTCAAAATTGTTTTTCATTTACCCTTTTTCTCTGTCTTATCTACAGTATTGTCAATGATACTGAATAAATTCAAAATCTAAATATCCCAAGTAGATGTAATTTAGAATGACATAAATCTTGGCCTTGGGTTGTGTACTAGCAAAACTCCATCCTTTCACTGATTTTTGCATTTATATTTCTTAAAAATATTGGCCTCATTTTTTGGAACTCCAACCCTATTTTTATAGCGAGGCAAATGATTAGAATCAATCAAGGACCAGTCGAGTCAATGTTTTCCAAATGTATAATATGAATGCGGTAAGGCCCGCCTCCTGCGCATCTGAAGGTTCATGTCATTCTAAACTACCTATACGCATACTTGCGACAAACATTATTTTCGAATATTTACTCAAGCTCCCATTGTGTTGGATATCAAAATAAAGGTATTCGTTTAGATGTATGCTTTTTAGCAAAATTTTGTTAAAATTAAACTTTTAAGTTTTAAAGTAAGTTAGTGGATTTAAATTCATTGTTTCTTTAAGTTGGTAACAATGCTATTTGTAGGGATTTCCCATGTATTTCCCAAAAATGTTCTATAGCGCCCTCTATCGTCCTTTTTTATAGATAAATTTAGCGGCTAGTATAAATTTAGTTTCAGGATGGCAACAAATCTAAAAGAAGTTCAAAGGAAACAGCTTGTGAACCATTTGAAAGAATTGTTTGGAAGTCTATTAGATTTAGAAATTATTGAATCTGTAGCTCTAAACTGCGATTATGACGGTAATTAATAAGTTAATCTTATAATAAAATA